ATAGGATGTTTTCATTGTAGGCAAACCACCCGGCAGGTCGCTCCCTCTTTACTCACCTGACAGATGAGCTGATCAGACATCAAGGGGGGAAATATTATAAGCATATCTGCTTAAGACAGCCCTGTGATATCAGCGGCTGCTCAGTGCAAGAGCGTGCCGGTGTGCTGACAGCGCTGAGAAGTGTTTTGAGAAGGACGGAGGATGCTGACATTCTTATGAAGAGCTGAAGAAGCCAGGTGCACACAACTACACGTTACGCCCACACTACAGAGATCCTGGGCAAGATTCACAAAGGTACTTAGATGCCTAAATTTGGGTTTCAGGGCCTAAGTCCCAAGTTTTGGCTCCACAGCTATTCCCACAACTCCTGTCAAATTGTCTAGGCTCCTAAACTCACCCAGCGCCTACATTTTCAGGGTAAAAGTTCCTTTGGTGCCTGCCCCTAGGGTGGGGAGACATGAGGGGGTTTGGGCCCAGGGATGGCTTAATCCGGCCCTACAAATAACTCCAGGAACCTGGTGGCAAAGCACTGGCAGCTCCATGACCTGAGCTAGGGAGCAGAGCTGGTAGCTCCGGCCCAGGGCTGGTAGCCAGGGAGCTTGGTGCGCAGACAAGAGACCAGCTCTGGCCAAGTGCTCCCTGTACCAGTCTGTTACCAGGGCGGTCACACACGGAGTGTCATCAAGAAGCATGTCGCCTGCAGCTCCAAGCTCTGGGCAGCCTCTCCAGGACCAGGACCCCCATCATCCCTGTGTCCATGTAGACAGGAACAATCCACAGTCTCCATAGAAGCCCCCTTCTCCCCCCTCCCCGCGATATGGACGTCTCCTTTATCTAGTCACTGACACAGTGGCTTCTATGCACGATGCCCCCTAATGCGGGGAGAAGCTGCCTGTGCCTTCTGGGTCCCAGGGGGCAGGGGGCTGCAGCGTGGTGAGTTGATCGCTAGGACCCAGGAGCGGCTGGGTGGCGGCTCTGGGGGGAGCGATCGCTGGGCTCAGGCCCGGCAGCAGGAAGTGACTCGCAGCCGCTGCGGGGACTCTGGCTCCAGGCGAGATCCCCGAGCCCCGGCGGCTGGTGCTGGGAGCCCGGAGCCCTGGCTGCAGCCGGGAGAGGGGAATCTCCAGCAGGGCCCTTCCCGCTGCTCCCCAGGAGCCGCTCCCAGGGCAGAGCCCCCAGCCTGGCCAGGGCCCTTCCCGGCCCGGCCCCTGCCCCAGGGGGCCCCGCTCGGAGGGAAGGTAAGAGAGACCCGCCCCCCGTCACACCCGGGCTGCAGGGGGAGGGTTTGGCCCCAGGCTGCTCCCAGCGGAGCTGGCTGCGATTCCCGCCCTGGGCCCGGGAAAGCTGCCGCCAGCTCCCGGTGTGTGCGGGGCGGGGGGAGCCAGCCCGGGCCGTGCTGGGGAGCGGGAGAGGGTTGAAGAGGGGTAGGGGGAATTGAGGGGGGAACAGGCATGTGTGAGGCCAGGGGCAGGAGGGGGATGGATAGGGGCAGGGGGAGGTGGCTTTAAGAGAGGGTTGATGGGGGCTGTTAGAGTTGCCCAGCCTGGTGGGGACTTTCTCCAGTGTCCGGAGCCTGCAGGTGAGGAGAGAGACGCGGGGGAAAGGACTGGGGCTGGGCAGGACAGTGACTCTGCACAAAGGGCCACTTTCAGGGACCAACTGGTGAGTTTGTAGTAGACGGACAGCGAGTGTCTGTAAGTCTCAGAGCTGCTGCCCTCGGTGACACCCCCAGGCTCACACTCCTGCTAGTAGACGGGTGTGGAGACAGTAAATAAGGAAGTGTTATTTACTCCTTCTCATAACACAAGAACTAGGGGTCACCCAATGAAATTAATAAGCAGCAGGTTTAAAACAAACAAAAGGAAGTATTTCTTCACACAACGCACAGTTAACCTGTGGAACTCCTTGCCAGAGGATGTTGTGCAGGCAGATGGTGTCCCTAGAAGCTGGGAATGGACAACGGGATGGATCACTTGATGATTACCTGTTCTGTTCATTCCCTCTGGGGCACCTGGCATTGGCCACTATCGGAAGACAGGATACTGGGCTAGATGGACCTTTGATCTGACCCAGTATGGCTGCTCTTATGCTCTAGATGAAGTAGCTGATCTGTGTACTGGAGAGCAAATGTCCAGGGGAACAGGACAGTCACCAGTTGTCCCAGGCAGAGGGGAGGAGAGAAAAGGAAGGGGACAGAAAGGGAAAGAGAAGAACCTGAAAGGGGCAGCAGGAGCAGTAAGTGAGGAGGGAGATTCCCAGCTCCCAGCCCTGCCCGGATCCATTCCCTGCATCACCCTTGGGCCGACTGACTCTCCTGGGGACAAGGTGAGGAGCTGACAAACGAAAAGCCAGTTCCTGCCCCAGTCGAGTCACTGCCACTGCGTGCTGGACGCTGCCCTTGGGACCAACGTCAGGGGGAATCCACCAACGCAGCTCCTTTGATTCTGGTCTTTTCTAGTGTTTGGCTCAGACAGTCTGTTACTGAGGGGGGCAGAGAGGGGGCGATTTAAAAGTGTCTCAGGGGGTTCAGTGCTGGTGGGAGGGACCAGGTCAGTGTTGTAATAGTGACTGAAGGTTTTCCCAGCATGGCAGAGTCCAGAGCGTCTGTCTGCAGGGAGAGAGCCTGGGGGGAATCGGGGTGTGAAATGGACTCAAGCCCCTTCTGAAACCTCCCCCATCACCCCTCTCGCCCTGACAGGCTGAGGAATCACGTCCAATTTTGCTCCAGATTGTCCTGTCTTCAGGAGACAGGGAAGGGAAATGGCTGTGATGAAGCCAGCTCAGGGAGTGGATTTTCAGGGCACTGCAGGGGAGATTTGTTGTAGAGGGGGAGGGGCAGGAAACACAGGGTGAGGCAGGGAGGGGACAGGGTGTGACAAACCTGCTGGGGCATGATTAACCTGGGCATGATTTTCTGAACAGGCCCATTGGCGGGGGTGGGAGGGAAACATTCCCCCATTTCTGAAACAGGAAACACTCCCCTGGGCAGGGCTGGGAAAACTGACCAGACTCCCAGTGCCGGAGCCTCAACCCACTAGCCAGAGGCTGCTGTGAAATTTTGATAAGTCCATAGATTCCAGGGACTGTTTTGATCATAGTCTGACCCACTGTATAACCCAGGCCAGAGAACTCCCCCAAAATAATTCCTAGAGCAGATGAATAACATCCAATCATGATTTAAAACTTGTCTGTGATGGAGAATTAGTAAATTCTTCCAGTGGTGAATTACTCTCACCATTATAAATGGACGCTTTATTTCCTGTCTGAATTTGTCTAGCTTCAGCTCCCAGCCCTTGGATTGTGTTATATCTTTCTCCGCTAGACTGATGAGCCCATTATTCAATATTTGTTCCCTGTGTAGACTGCAATCAACTCACTCCGTTATCTTTTCTTTGTTTACCTAAGTAGATAGAGCTCCTTGAGTCTATCACAATAGGGCTGGTTTTCTAATCCTTACTGTCAGTACCAGAACTGGACACCGGATTCCATCAGTGCCTGCACCAGTGACAAACACAGAGGTAAAATAACCTCTCTACTCCTACTCAAGATTCCTCTGTTTATACATCCAGTCGCATTAGCTCTTTTGGCCACATCATCACACTGGGAGCTCATGTTCAGCAGATTATCCACCATGGCTCCCATAGAGTCACTGCTTCCCAGGACAGCGTCCCCCATCCTGGAAGTATGGCCTTCCGTCTTTGTTCCTAGATGTGTACGTTTACATTTAGTCATATTCAAATGCATATTTTTTTGCTTGCACCCAGTTTACCAAGTGATCCAAATTGCTCTGAATCAGAGACCTGGCTTCTTCATTGTTTACCCATCCCCCAATTTTTGTGTCCTCCGCAAACCTGATCAGTGATGATTTTGTTTTCTTCCAGGTCATTTCTAAGAAATGTTAACTAGCGTAGGGCGAAGAACCAATCCCTGTGGGACCCCACTTGAAACATGCCCTCGATGTTGATTCCCCTTGTAAATTGACATTTTGAGATCTATCCGTTAGCCAGTTTTTAATCCATGTAATGTGTGCCATGTTAATTGTGTATCATTTGAGATTTTGATTCAAAATGTCATGCGGTATCAAGTCAAATACCTTACAGAAGTGTAACTAGATTATATCAACACTATTACCCTTGTCAACCAAGCTTGTGATCTCATCAAAAAATGATCTCAGGTTAGTTTGAAAGGATCTATTTTCCATAAACCCATGTTGAATTGCATTAATTACATTACCCTCCTTTAATTCTTTATTAATCAAGTCCTGCATCAGCTCCTCCATTATCTTGCCTGGGCTCAGTGTCAGGCTCACAGGCCTATAATTACCCATATCATCCTGTTTACCCTTTTAAAAATTGGCACATTCACTTTATTCCAGTCTTGTGGAACTTCCTCAGCACTTGAAGACTTATTAAAAAATCAACATTAACGGTCTGGCAAGCTCCTCATCCAGCTCTTTTAAAATTCTTGGATGCAAGTTATCTGGATCTGCTAATTAAAAAATGTCTAGCTTTAGTGGCTTCTGTTAAACATCCTCATGAAATACTGGTGGAATGGAAAGAGTGTATATGATGAGACTGTATCGTCTGTTTTCCCCCCAAATACAGAAAGGAAGCTGTTGGGATTCCTGTCCCTGTCCCCTGCTCAGGGCTCTGCTTCCCGTATCAGCCTGTGGCTGGTAGGCATGTGGTAAATAAGAAGACTCTGCCTTCCTCCAGCTGCTGGGGGGACAAGGCGCTCTCACCTTCTCCCCACCCCCTGAAGCCTCCTGGCTGCTCTGAGCGGGGTGGGGGTGGGATTCTGCTACTCTGGTCCTCCGAGAGCTTCTGTTTTTTTGCCTTCCTCTTATGTGAGTAGTGAGATAGTGGCTGGGGCAGCAGGTGCTGAGTGGGGAACTCTTGTTGTTTCAGATGCCGGTGACCTTCGAGGAGGTGGCTGTGTATTTCACCCAGGGTCAGGGGGCTCTGCTGGATCCTGCTCAGAGAGCCCTCTACAGGGACGTCATGCAGGAGAACTATGAGACGGTGACCTCATTGGGTAAGGGATTCCTGTCCTCTCAGCTATTAGAAGCCGTGGGGTCTGCGTGTGAATCTGGTCAGGTTCTTCCCTGGTCAGTTAGATTAGAGGGGAATGGGTCCCATAGTCCACAGCTCCAGTGTGAGAGAGACTTGCATCTCTATCCCCTCCAAAGCGGTCAGGGAGTCGTAAACCTAACGGACGTGCTAATTCATCCCCATCCCTCCAGCTTTCCAGGGGGCAGAAGCCATGTATTGTCCTATCTCTATTAACTCTAACTCACATGCAGAATCCCTGTTGGTCTCCTTTCCCAGGACTAGTTCCATCCATGGGGAGGGCTTTGGAGGTTTAGAACTAGGCAGGGGTTTAACCCCAGAGCTGTGTCTGCATCAGCGAATCCCCCAGAGTGCACAGACCCTGGAAACTCCTAGTGAGGGGATGGTCTCCCACCCCCAATGTCTGCTTCTCTCAAGGGTGCTCAGTGATCATGCTCCCATCTGTTCAGATTAGTCATGCTCCCAGCACAGCGCGCGGGGCCAGGTTAAACTCAGTTAATGTTCCTTGTGACAGATACTCTCCCAGTACTCCACGCACCCTGATCTTGTTTGATTTCATGCCCCGAGCAGGATTTCCCATTCCCAAACCTGAGCTGATCGCCCGGCTGCAACGAGGGGAAGAGCCGTGGGTCCCGGATCTCCAGGCCTCTGAGAAAAAGGAGGTCATGCGAGTCACCCACACAGGTGAGGCGTCGGTGAAACGGACATAGAAACTGTGTGGTGAGTGAAGGAAAAAGTCGAGACTCCCAAAGATGTGCTGTGAACGAGCTCCTCCAGGTCTGCCCTATCTCACCCAGGTCAGGGCTGTAATTGACAAGTCGTGCCTCACCATGACAGATATCACTCACGGCTTCCCACCCATCCTTTAGCTGTATGCAGTTTCCTCCCCAACTTTACTCCTCTATGAGTGTTTGGGTGGGATGTGGAGGCAGAATTCAATTTCTCAGTCTCCCCAGCAGTTACTGTGTTGTGTTTTCTCTCTTTGCTATTCCCCATTCTGTCCTTTCTCCCCGGCACAGACAGTGACTCCTGTCTGGATTTTCTCTCTCTCTCCCAACAGGTGATGAGACCCTGAGTGAGAACAAGGAGGTGAATTGGCAGGTGGAACCAGAGAGGGCCTTTTTGAGAGGAGCTGAAGGGAATTTTTCCCAATGCTTGGAACAGGGAGAAGCCTGGGGAAATCGGGATGGGTCAGAGAGGCAGCTGGGAAACCAGCCAAGGAAGAAAGTGGATGAATCAATTCAAGGTGGGGGAGGATGCACAGATCCCAAGGAAACCACCGCCCAGCAGACAAATCCCAAGGATGAGAAACCCTACAAATGCCTCGACTGTGGGAAAAGCTTCAGTGTAAGAACGAACCTTATTACGCATTGGAAAAACCACACTGGAGAGAAGCCCTATAAATGCTTGGACTGCGGGAAAAGTTTCCGTCAGAGCTCACACCTTATTACCCATCAGAGACTGCACACAGGAGAAAGACCCTATAAATGCCTAGAGTGTGGGAAAAGTTTCAATGTGAGATCGGCCCTTATTGCACATCAGAGAACGCACACGGGAGAGAAACCCTATAAGTGCCTGGACTGTGGGAAAAGCTTCAATGTGAGATCAGCCGTTATTAGACATCAGAGAATCCACACGGGAGAGAAACCTTATAAATGCTTGGACTGTGGGAAAAGTTTCAGTCAGAGCTCCAGCCTCACTAAACATCGGAGAACCCACACGGGTGAGCGACCCTATAACTGCCTTGTGTGTGGGAAAAGTTTTAGCGACAGCTCGTCCCTTATTAAACATGGGAGAACCCACACGGGAGAGAGACCCTATAAATGCCTGGACTGTGAGAAATGTTTCAATCTGCGATCAGCTCTTCTTGCACATCAAAGAACCCACACGGGAGAGAAACCTCATAAATGCCTGGACTGTGGGAAAAGCTTCAGTCAGAGCTCAAACCTTGTTACACATCAGAGAACCCACACGGGGGATAAACCCTATAAATGCCTCCACTGTGGGAAACGGTTTAACGTCAGTTCAGCCGTTATTACACATCAGAGAATCCACACGGGAGAGAAACCCTATAAATGCCTGGACTGTGGGAAAAGCTTCAGTCACAGCTCAAACCTCACTAAACATCAGGGAATTCATGAGGGAGAGAGAACCTGTAAGTGGGACATGTTTCAATAGGAAGTCAACCCTTAATACTCATCAGGAGACCCCAGCATGGGAGAGAGACCCCAGAAGTGTCTCTGTTGAGGGAAAAGTTCCATTCAGAGATCAGCCCTTGTTACGCATCAGACAATCCACAAAATAGAGAAACCCCATAAATGCTTGGACTGTGGGAAAAGCTTCAATAACAGCTCAGGCCTTACTTAATACTGGAGAACCCACATGAGAGAGAAAAACCTTGAATGTGGGGCAAGCTTCCCTTAGTATCTGGCAACAGCAAATCCACGCAGGGAAGAAACTGCTGAGATGTCGTTAGCAAGGAAAATGCTCCAAGTGGAGCCAACACCATGTCAGACATCAGAGACTCCTCCGCACGTGGGAGAAATTCTTTCAGGGCCCTGACTAGGGCTGGCCATGGTGACAAACCCATTTCCTCGTTCCCACACACATCAGGGGCATTTGGCTCCCAAGAATCCAGCAGCCCATCTCTGCGGTGAGGATCCAGCAGCAGCTGAGCATCAGTTGGTCAGAGACCCTCTGGCTCTGCCTGGTCTAAGCAAACCCCAGGCAGAGGAGGAGAAGCCCCCATCAGCCCCTCCTCTCTGCTGCTGAGCTGATGGGCCACAGGTGGAGGAAGGGAAAGAGAGAAACTCCTCCAGCCACTCCCTCTGCCTGGCTGAAGTTCCCCCCTCTCCCTTCCCCTCCCAGCCGGGATCCCCCTGCCATGCAGACGAGGAGAAGGACCCTTGGGCCAGGCCCCACCTTCACTCTACACACCTGTCCCCACCCCCCATCTTCCCAGCCCCTGGGCTGGGCTCCCCCACTTACCTGGAGCTGTTCCCTGCAGGGGGAGTGTCCCTGGGGGCTGGTAACTCCTCCCCTCCCCACATCCCCCAGGGCGCTGGGCTCTGGGGGATCAAACGTTAAGGGACCAGCCCGATGGGTTGTGGGGAGGAAACTGGGAATTGAATGGCTGGGGCTGAGGGAGCTTGGAAGCAGGGGGAGCTGGGTGCTGGGGCTATCGAGTGTTTGGGGCTCATGGGATAAGAGGCGAGGGAGAGCACAGGGGCAGAGAAGTGCTGCCTCATCACTCATCCCCTCTCCCTATCTCCCTGCCCCCTCTGCATTCAGACGGCACCACTGAGTGGGACTGATTCCCACAGGGCCTTTTGTGGGAGGCCTGGTGATCCCACCTCTGCCTCCGCAGCATCAGCCTCTGAGCGTCCGTCTGTGGTCGGGATCAGCCAGCTCGTCTCCTCTGACCCTCCCCCGCTCATCCTACCCTAGACTGAGCCTGAGCATCTAATTCATTCTGATCCTCACCATTAGCAGAGTGACTGTTAGTCATGGAGTTCCTCCTTTGGGCGTAGATTCTCTCACTCCCAGCTATTCTCACCTCGATCCAGGCCATGCCGGCAAGCATTTCTTTTTGTACATTTTCTCTCTTACAGACGAGAATTAAATGGATTCTAGAAGAGTTGGAGCAAGGGTAGTAAAAGGCAGTGTTTTAGGTTCTGTGCTGTTTGAGAGCGATGGCGTGAGTCTGAGGGATTCCCTCCTTCCCCAGTCACTGTCACGCTCCATCCTTGATGCAGCAGCCTCTGTCCAAGCCTTGGAGAATTTTATCCTGTCCCCATTCTACTCCTCCACCTCCCAAAGCGTCGCTTACCACAGTGTCCCTGGCTCTCCATGCATAGGAATCACACTTTGATCCTAAATTAGACTCCTGGAGGTGAAAGTGTCACCGACCTGGGCTGGGGTTGGGGGAGGATTCAGATCTGAGGTTTCTGAGCTTAAATCCCTGTTTCCATCTATCAGTAAAGTGGCTTCTGGGCTTTTCACAGCCAAGTACAGATCATTTGTCGAGGGGAAGGTTTTGGTTTTATTTATTTTTTTCTGTTTCGTTGTGAGGCTGCTAAAATTTTGTAACTAACACAACCGAATAGCGAGGAGGCGCTGAGGGAAGCAGGGTTAGCCAGCTCAGAAGAAAATGAATCAATTTGTTCTCCTGATTGTGAATCTGAAGATTCTCTGGGATTTCACTTTCTGAATGTAAAAGTGTTTCGTAGCCCACCCTGTATCGTGGGGTTTTCTTTCCTGAAGGTGTTGGGTCACGTACTTTGATATTAATTTGGTTTGATAGGATGTAGCTCAGGTGTATTGGAGATGTGATGAGGCAAATGAATATTTGCCAGAATAGTCCTTTCCTATTTTAGTTTTACCTCTACCCCATCGTGAGATTTTCATGTGGTTTGAACAATGCCAATTGTCAATATGTATTGGCACAAACAGTGTAAGTGCTAGATTTACCCTCCCAGAGGCAGAGACTGAAATGGAGAAGGAAGTTACTGCCTGATCCCTGCAACAATGCGAGATACAGTTGGGAGGGGGATGGAGTGGGAGGTGAGGGGTACAGAGCTGGAAAACTGCACATTTTGCTGTTGACAGCCAGACAGCCAATACTGAGAACTGTGAGCTTGCTGCAGCGGGGCTAGAGAGAGACAGGAAATGTCCTATGATTGCCCTGGGAAGACACCCCTGAAATCTAAAGGGCTATGAATGATGCCCCAAGAGGAGAGGCGGGGAGAGGGCAGCGTCTCCTCGTTGCTGAGAGGATGAGGCTGGGCAGATGCAAGAAGGAAGCCGGGGAAGTCACGAGGCCTGAGCTCCCCGGAAGCCAGGCTGACCCCCATCAATGAGGCCAGAGGGAGAGGAGGACCCTGAAATTGCAGAGTCCTGGGTGCGAATGAGAGAACCCCACGCGCCCCACACTGCATCCCTCGAACCTGAGCTCGTGGGGTTTCCTGCTCTCCGAGCATTTGCTCTTGTGACTGGATCCCGGCGTCTCTCGCGGACTGGCTGTGCTTTTCTACCCGCTTTAACTTGTTTCTCTTTCCCTGGTGCCCGCGGGAGCTGGGAGCAGCACGGTGCTGGCCTGGGGCAGAAATGCAGTGTGCTGGGGTGGGCTCCGGGCCCTGGCTGGGGAGGTGGGTTTAGCTTGTATTTCTCATTTGGAAATGATAAAGCAGAACATAGTTTCTCAACCTCTCAGCGTCTCTTGTCGTGAATCATGAATCAAAATGGGCTTTCATGGAAGCCTCTTGGAGGTGTTATTTCTCTTTCCCTGAGCACCGCAGATGCCAAAGCAGCCAGCTCTGGGGGATTTCAGACTCTTCTATAGGTCTGTGGGGGAAATCCATCTGGTTGTCCTGTCCCATTCACCCGCCTTCTGCGGAAGAAGAGTCAGTCAGGCCGGAGAGGCATTTTTTTTTTTTTGAACCTCGGTGGAGCAGTGATAGAGAAGAGTCATGATAACCTGTTCTTCAAAGTGGTGGTTCTCAACCAAGGGTACACGTATCCCTGGGATTACACAGAGGTGTTCCAGGGGGTACATCAACTCATCTAGATAGTTGCCCAGTTTTACAATACAGGTCTGTCACATCTTACGCGCATTTAACATGCGCGATTTCAGCTTTACGCGGTCGGCAAAAACAAAAACAAAACCAAAAAAAGGAGAAAAATAACAATTTTAATACTGTTCCACCCGCCATTGAACTCAATGTAATTTTGACTATACGCGGTTTTCGCTTCGATTCATTTTATAATGATATGGTAACGATGAGAAAGGAGGCAATTGTTCAGTAACAGTGTGGCTGTGACGCTTGTATTGTTATGTCTGATTTTGTAAGCAAGTCGTTTTTAAGGGAGGTGAAACTTGGGGGTACGCAAGACAAATCAGCCTCCTGAAAGGGGTACAGTCGTCTGGAAAGGTTGAGAGCCGCTGCCTTAAAGCACCTTGAAATCCACCAATGACAAGTGCTATCTGAGAGCCAGGTATTCTTCTGATTTATTTTTGGCCATGCAAAGTGAGGCCCTGCACTCAGTGCAATGGCATTTGTCCGTTTGGATGCAACACAATAGCTTAGCTTTTGATGGCTGCACCTGATCAGTTCTAACATTTCCGGGAGTGTTCCAGGCAGCCCTCGGGAGGAGGCTGCTGAGTTCGGTGAACGTTGGACAATTCTGAGGGGTAATGGCGGATGCATGGGGCTCTCCAGGCATCTGGTCCCTAGCCCCCTCTGCTTCAACCAGTTCTGCAATTGTCAAATGTCTGGTGCCTGGCTGCCACTGAGCCCTGGAGGGCTGAAGGGATGGTGATGTTGCAATACCTAACATTTAGGTGTCTAGAAAAATCACTGAAACAACCCTGGGATCCAGAAAGGCTGAATTAGTCAGCTAGGCTCCCTGTACCATGCATGGGGAAACTAAGGCACTTAAGGATGGGATCGTCAAAAGCCAGCATGCTAGGCAGGGAGCCTCCTAAGCTAGGCGATGAGAGATGCTGATATTGGGGGGGGGGGGGGGTCCCTCAGTCTCTCCTGAAGAACCTGTCACACTTCGCAGCAGTCATTACAGAGTCCTTGGGAAAGGACTGGGCCTCCCAGGCAGGTGCCCCGACCCCCAGATTGCAGAGTCGATCTCTCGCTGTGGCGCAGTGAACATTCCATCTGGGCTGGGCATGGCCCAGAGGGGCCTTTGATGGAGGTTTCCCCCGCACAGACCCTGCTGGGGGAGCAGCAGCTGCTCAGTGTCAGCTCCCAGATCCCAATGGAGGAGGCAGCAGCTCATGACCCAGGACAAAAAACAGAGACAGATGGAGCGCAGCCTCCTCTCTCTGAGCAGGGACACGACAGCTACTGCATAGCTGCCCCCACTCCTCTCCCTGCCAGACCCCCAACCTGGGAGGGGATCAAGTATAGTTAGGGTTGGATTAAGACATAGGCTATTTGCTACCCCCGTCCCAGGTGATAGGGAAAGGCAGAGGTAGCACATTATAATAGGTGGACCCTTAGCCGTTATAATTTGCTGCCCCAGACGAGGAGATGGAGAAAGGTGAGAGAGGAAATTATGACGGGAAAGCCTCCCATCCGTCACAGTATGGTACCCCTGGACCAGAGGATGGGGAAAGGCAGACACAGCAAATTGTGACAGGGCAGCAAAAGCGATCAGCAGCAAACTGTGCTGGCAGCTGTTCGCAGCGTGACCCTGGCTGGGGTCTGGAAGATCCCAAACCCAGCAGCTGTCACTTTCCATCTAAATTCCCGTAAGGGAGAGTGTGTCCTGGACACACTCGGGGGGAGAGGGAGGATCCTGCACAAAATCTCTTTTCCAAAGCAAATATCCCAACCTCTGGGTCATTTTCTTTCCCTTTTTCCTTCGAGGCAAAGGAAAATGCATGGAATATAGGTAAATAATGACTAAAAAGCAACTGTATTATATGTTGAGTCTTTGCCCCTGCCCTTTGCTGTTTTGAGCTAAACCTCTGACTCCCAGAAGCTGGGAATGGGCGACGGGATGGATCACTTGATTACCTGTTCTGTTCATTCCCTCTGGGGCACTTGGCATTGGCCACTGTTGGAAGCAGGGGTGCTGGGAAAGGGGAGGGGCATGGCCGTCCCACTTTTTGAAAATGGATCGGCCTGGCCTATCCACTTTTCACCATGGCCCCCTGAGGCCTCGCCCCCCTGGCCAGGCTAGCAGCATCACGCTACAGACCCTCCACCTGCCTGGGGTGGGGGGGCCAAGAGTAGCTCCTGACCCATGTCCTTGCCCTCCAGGTCCCCCACCCAGGGCAGGTGGAGGATTGCTTGCTCCTCACAGCTGCCCGGCTGCATGGTCTTACCATGGCCGGGCTGCAGCTCTGAGGCCCGGTTCCCCAGCCGGAGCCAGGTTGGGGTAAGAGCCGCGCTGGTAGCTGTGGGGGGCCGCGAACACTCCACCTGCCCTGTATGGTGGGGCCTGCACGGCGGGGACACGGCCCAAAGCTGCTCTTGGTGCCCCCATCCCAGTGGGTGGAGGGTCTGCAGCTCCCAGCCCACTCTGGCTTCCAGCTTGGCCGGGGTCAGGGCCTTGGGCGGAAGGGGTGGTGCCATGGAGGGGGCGGGGGCCCCTGGTTCTCCTCTTTTTGGCAGGCTCCTCTGCCCCTGGTCAGAAGACCAGGATATTGGGCTAGATCAGGTGTGGGCAAACTTTTTGACCTGAGGGCCACATCTGGGTGGGGAAATTGCATGCAGAGCCATGAATGTAGGTCTGGGGCAGGGGGCTGGGGTGCGGGAGGGAGTGTGGGAGGGGGTGTGGTGTGCAGGAAGGGACTCAGAGCAAAGGGTGCGGGGTGCAGGAGGGGGCTAAGGGCAGGGGTTTGGGGTGCAGGCTTTGCCCCAGCGCTGCTTATGTCGAGCGGCTCCAGGTGGCAGCGGCATGCAGTGGGGCTAAGGCAGGCTCCGTGCCTGCCCTGGCCCTGCACCGCTCCCAGAAGTGGCCAGCATGTCAGGCAATGACTCCTGGGGGTGGGGTGGGGCAGGTGGCTCCGCCGTGCACTGCCCTCGCCTGCGAGTACCACCCCCGAAGCTCCCATTGGCTGCGGTTCCCCAGCCGTAGTTCACCCTTCCCTGGGCTAGATGGAATATCGGTCTGA